GTAAAATGACAGTGTCACAGATTAGCCTTACGCATTCACGTAACGATGTGAATATTCGTTTGGGCTGTGATGCATCAAGGTATACTTTGGTTTGGCTCCGTTTATACTTTCATTTCCACTACTTGACTTGCTCAAAACCTTGAACTGAACATTTATTTAAATAAATACAACAATACTCAATATTATTTTCCCAGTTCACCTCGTAAATTGATTTGCGCTCATCCCCAATATAATGTACGGTGAGCGTATATTCTTCCGTTTTTGTCATATGGTGTTTAATGTTGGTTCTATTGAAGTCAACAGATTATATCACGGGAGGGAAAAGGTGACAAAAAAGCTAATACTAATGAGGTATTCGATGTGTTCATTCCATTCATGTTCTTTACGCCGTGTATGATGTTGTTAGCCAATCGTTGCTATGATACTAAACCTTAAATTATAACAACGGCATTGAGAGTTAGTCGAAACGCATTATATACCGATGTAGAAGCGACCGATAAAGAGCATTATAATGGATGTGCGATGTGCTATAAGTGCTTGGAATGGAGTTAGGGTTAGATAGATATATAGAAGAGATACGAGGCAAAGGAAAATGAATGATAATTAAATATCTCATGTGTAATTACATCCATTATCTAAATTGTATAATATTTTACGTGGTTTTAGATCATTGCACACCATCGCAAAATCTGAAATGAAAACAGTTGAACTTCAACCGAAACACTGTCAACGTTGGCACTTGCACACATCCATTCCATTTGAAAAATTAAAATTGAATTCACGGTTCGTTTGCTCGCCACTTAGCAACATCTGATTCGATTCGCAAATTGGCTAATTACTACTATCCGCGCAGTAATAATGTACAATGTATTAAGTGAGTAAGTATGTTGGATGTTGCATATGATGGAACTTGACACTCTTGCCTTCTCCAACCTTGCACTGTACTGTTCCGTGAACTCTTTAGAGATTTGACGTTCTGTCGCATATGATTATTGCAAACGCACCTAATATTTGCTAAATGAGCCAATTGAATGAAGTTCAAATGGCTTGAGTGTATAATAATCATTATTGTGCTAGTTCTTAATAGATTAGTTGAAATGCGATAAACATAGCAATTAAAATTATTCAAACAAACATATAGAGTATCCATAAGTGTATGCTGCTTGGCAGAAGATGTCTGCTTTTCACCTCAGGCTTTTTACATAAATGTTCGGCCAAATTTGAAATATACACTTTCAAAATGCAGAGCGTATATTGAAGCACACTGAGTATATCCATTAGTGAAACGATGTATGTTTATTTGAGCCACTTTGAATCGCGGATTACGAGTAACTGAAATGAGATGGAAGAAAATTGTCTCCAGGAAAGTTGTGGTAGTGTTCTTCAGTTACTCGTAATCCACGCCTGGAAAAAGGCTGGAAACATACATCTTATGTAATGTAAGCATCGCCGCTGTGTTTTTGTACACTAAACATGAAACAACACAGAAAACAGCCTCTGTGTCATTCTTTCTTATTATTTTTGACTAATACATTCTTTTTTACTAAATATGACTATGATTTGAATGATAATGATGTGAATTTTGAGCAGATCAGCCACAAATTTGACTCGGACGAATTTGATTTCAGGCCGATATCTTCACCATCTCACTACAACGAATACGTAGAATGCTTGCATGATCTCAGAATATTTCAAACTGTTTCGACTGTCCTAGCGTATAAGCATCTTAAGTTCACTTCGATTATTTGAAGGATTTAAAATTTATTTTCAATCATATGGACGCCATAAATCACAGCTCGCCACGGATTCCTGTAACCAATAGCTGAAAATCCAAATCAATAATTTTAATAACGGATTTTCGTGAAAATCCATAGTTTTCAATTAAATTTGAAGTGATTTTGTTTTAAATACGTTTAATATTAAACGTTCTGCGGATTACTCTTTACGTTTAAACATGTTCCATTCCGTTACGCCTACGATATATATACTCATATACCACCAACAAATGTTGATTCGGTTTCATTCAATTTGTAAATAACAGCACCAGCACATATCACTGAAAAATTAAACAGAATTCAGATAATCGAATTGTGAGCTCTTTTTTTCTGCGATTACGGACGTGTCTGACGGATCCAATTTCACACGGACCGAGATGGCCGTAAACCGATCATCACAATATACGTGGATAACAAAAACAGTGTTGGCAATCGAAAATATTTTTGGTCAATAACAACGACGTCACTGTACTCTAGACAGACTACAAAGCAGACTTATCAGACTAATATTATGCGAGCACGTATGTCACGCAGCACGTGCTTTGAATTCGAAATAGATGGTCAATTCGAATACATCACTCGCAATTAGAGTATAAACAAATAGTAAACGAAATTATTTTTGCATAATGGTAAAACATGAACAAATTGCATTATTTTCCGACAATGTTAGAATAATATTATCCAAAAATGTTGTTCCTAATTTCCATTTGGCTACTAACCTTTGTTTCTACCAGTAGTTAATACATTTCTGTCCACCATCTGAACATAATTGTCTATACAAGCCTCTTTCAGTAGCAGTAATACAATTTGCGCATTGTGCATTTGGCAGCCATACTGCTAGCGTATACATACGGAAGAGAATGAAAAAAATTCAACCAAATGAGGAGTGGGTTTAATGGCATTTCAAATACAGAAATCATATCATTGAACGAGTTCATCGCAAAATCGCATTTTGCTTTGTTTTTTTTTTGTACTGAGCACACCGTGAAAGACTGCAAACTGCCTGCTATATAGCGCTGTCCTAGAACCATGTTGATTATCACCACTGTGAATCTCAAAATCGTATAAATAAGCTTGAGCTGCCGACTGGAGCCAGTCAAGAAAAATCTATATGCAAGTGTATAGAATCATATAAAAAAAAACCTTGCATGGGCTGAATTTTAATTTCGATTTAAATTGATTTTTTCCAATAAAATCTTGTGCGAAATGAGTCCCGAATTCAAAATGTTTGCTGTGCAGCATTCCACATAATAAACCAATACGAAGATGAAACGGATAAAAGGACTGATATATATATATATACATCTTTTTTTTATATTGAAGAGTTCCTCATGATGATGGCTGAATGTTTTTAGATTAGCAATTTTGCTCCAAATTCATAATGATCCTCACATAAAAAAAACCCTATAATTTTGGGTAAATGATTTGAATGAATATTTTGCTCTACGTTGAATAATATTGCCGAACGGGACTTGTCATATTAATATGTTCATGAGAATCGATTAGTGTTCGGGCTATGACGGAATAATACTTCCGATAATTAATTTGGACGACTACGAGCAAATTACGGTTACTCATTTTGACATTCCTACTATTGTGAGTCATCAAATAACTTGCAGATGAACAATTTAATAGCCCCATACATTCTACTAAATCAAAAAGACTGTACAGTGTACACCAATGTGATATGATGTGTTGTAATGATTTAGTATTGGCATGGCCAGTGCTGTTGAAACCAATGTCGAACTTAATTAGAAAGTACCGAAAGAACCCGAAGAAAGAAATCTTCGGAGATATTAGCGTAATTAAATAAACAAATGTTGACTGCATGTCTTTTTCATCATAGTCGGTCCAAAAATCCGTCCCCCCCCAAAAAAAGTCGTGATAATACTTTATTCGTGCTTTGTTTTCTTCGCCCATGCCTTCTTTAATCATTCGTCTTTTAGAATTTACTTTTTACATGCAATCCAATGGAGCCGACATCTTCGTTTGGAAGTTCGTATCGAATATCATACTAATTTTTCAACAAAAAAAGGCCCCATCGTTGGCTATTGTTGAAAAAAAACGATATGAATAGGATACATTTTCGATTATCCTCTTTGATACGAATATTCGTAACATATTACTATTGGTCTCCAGTTTTGGATGAATATCAATAATACTACTACGGATGAATGATGACGTTATAGGCACTCATTTTAGCGCATAAAAAATTAATGTGATACACAAAAACAAACAAATCAACCGATTTCGTGATTTATTATTTATCATTTTTCAAATGAAACCGAACACACTCGAGCACATTGGACAATATTGAAGTAGAATCCAGAAAGAACCGACAATTTAAGATTGATACGAAAAAATGCCGAATATAACTTAAAGCTCGATTGAAAAAAGAAAAAAAAATTCTCTGATTTAAAATTCTCATTCTTCTTTGGTTTTGTGGTCAATTCGTTGTCATTCGTGTTTTTATTATTAGAAAGCGTTGATTTTACATATAGTTCGAACATAGTGTAATGCTTTATCAAAAAGTAGTTTTAATAGACACAATCCAGTAGATAATAGAACAATGAAAGACCAATTCTGTGTTCCATGATGAAGTTTGGAAAATCTATTAACATAACAGCTGCAAACCGCCAACGGCGACCATCGTGTTTCTTTTTCAAATTTCTTTCAGAAATAAAAAGAGAAAATAAATCCATATAAACATAGAAAAAACAAAAAAAAAACGCATTTGATAGTGGTCTAGCATTTTACGCCATATATCAATTTTTCATTATAAATGAATAACACGGTTCACATTTCTAGCTGTTTCTACAGATTTGTAATTAATTGTTGTATTCGATATCATTACTTGTTTTTTAATAATAATAATAATAATTTAACAGTTCAGATTTTTTTTTTAACGGTACAATATTTCCTATTTCCTTTCACACGTTTTTTCACTTCAATGGTCTGAGATACATTGTTTGGGCCGTCTGTTTTACTAGCATTTGATACAAAATTCGTTTTTCTTCAAAGCTCTATCACCCAGATAGCTAGTTTCAAACGAATTGCTAATAAGATTTATTTCTATCACGGATACCAGATGAGTGAAATCAACCATATAATGTATTCAATCTATATTTGGCAAAATGCTATATCTGGTCAACGTCCATTTTTTCTTTGATATTTAATGTTTTTCCACAAAAAAATATGCTTTAATAATTTGTTATTTTTTTCTAGAATTTTGATACTTGAATGTGAGGATGTCTTTCGATTCAACATTTCTACTTCAAGGTAATTATTATGATGAAAATTGTAAAGAATATTTAAAAAAACACACTTGGAATGCGCATGCATAGCAATAGATTGATGTTAAAATTAGAAGAAATTTCGTTTTTTTAAATCAATTTTGATTGATCATTAACACATTTTCACCTCACTTTGGACCTGAATATGAATTTACCTACTTTGAGCCGCCTCAGGTGACTCGTGTGTAAACGCCGACAGCATTCTGAAATGATGAAACAGTTTGAAACAACAATGAATCATTGAATCACGAAAGGTCAACGGCAAAGTCGAATTCGGCAATCAACACGAGCTGCGTCGATTCAAGACAGTGCAAATATTTGTCGCGAGTTTTGGCCAATGTGTACCAACAAAATGCCAACGAATATTTACACAATGAAGAATGTTTTCCATAATAAATTTAATAAATGCTGTCCCACATTCGAGGGCATTATTTCCGGAATTTTCCCAAAGCACCGCATCGGCTCAGCATCACATTGAGAAATAGAATAAATGGAAATCATTAAATTTGCTTATAAGCTTAAATTTTCGTAATTCAATTTATATTCCAATTTGTTTGGCTCTATTCACAGCATTTTTGTTCCGTCGCCTGTAAGTCTGGCTTCACATCTCTTTGGCATACGCACACCTGAGCTGTTTACCCCCATATCTCTTTCACACCTTCATGCAATGCTCATTTGGCTTCCATCAACAACGTAAAATCTTTCGATGAGCTGAACACATTCAAATATTTGCAGTTCTCATTCCGTCATTTTACGTCGTAAATATAAAATTAAGTTTTCAATGTGCTAATTTATTACGCTCAATGCTATATCGTATACACTTCTCCTATTCCACACTTGATCTGACCCATCCATATGAGATTCAAACGCAATTTGAAGATAAATCATCATTCATTTTCATACATCTGATGTTAATGATTCTGAGTCAGACACGGCAAGTTTGAGGAACATCCCATTCCATTTTTTCAGTAAAACATAGCTACAACTCAAGCTATCTTGTCAATTGAGTCACTGAAGCGGAATTTGTCATGAATGTTTGAAGTGTTGAAGATTACCCACCCGTATGACCCATCAGTCTGACTGACTGTAACTGAAATCCACTAACAAGCGATTAAAGTTAACGGAGCTGTAGTTTTGTATGGAAAATAGGCGGCTTGGATGTCATTTTTGCCAGACGCTCAAATTGAGACATTTTTGACTATGACCATTTTTTTTGCAGCCCAGTCACATATGTCTCAAAATAATCGACAGTCAGAATATTTGCACACGGGTTCCTTCCGACTGAACTAAGATGTGTAGGTGTTTCGAATAGTTGTTGAAGAGAGTGAGTTTCTTGAAAGGTTTTGAATTAAGTATATTTCTATGAAGCCAAGTTTTTGGTAATCATGATGAATGTGGATTTGTCTAATTGGAAAATTTCGTCTCCGTACGCATAGATATACATACTTGAAGTAATCGTGTCATAATATTTACAATGTCTCTCTTTAAAACGTATTCACAAGTCATCGTTGAAATTGTGAAATACATTACGTTCGTCGTTGCCATTATGATCATTTGCGTAATATACAGAAATAAAATCTTCAAAATAAATATTTGAATTTGGAAAATATATGTACCAATGCTTCAGAAACTAGTACTTAGTTATAAAATACGAATGACAAACCAAAAATACTGCATAGTTCATGTGAAGAAGATGAAACCATGGTAGACAAATATCAAAAGAAGAAATACACTAATGCGAAATGGAAAATACAAATCAACATTGTACTCCCACTTTTTCTACAGTTCTTTTTCAAATTTTCTATTTGAGACTTTTGCTATCTATGTATACGATTCCTAAGTCCTTAATATAATGCATATAGTTAAAATGCTGTTATAGTTTTTCAGCATTCATGTACACCATGATATTGACTTGGCACAAAAACTTTTTCAATTTCACCTCGTTGCTTCGGACTTCCGTACGATTCGAAAATCAAATCAACCTATTCCGAAATAATTAACAGTTAAAAGAAGGGAGGGTGCTCTATATACAAAGTTGATACAACTTTTAATGAATCCATATTATTAGAGCAAATTAACGAACGCCAAATGGTTTTACACTCGAGCTACTTTTGTATGCTTTGTACACTATATTCATCGTTCATTGTAGACTGGCTATAAAAGCCCACCGGTTACAACAGTTTGAATACAAAAGACTTTAGTTTTTGTTAAACATCACAATGAACTTTCGCTGTTCTAACTTTAATTTTAAACGCTTCACGGCACCTACTTTTTTCCCCTTATTTCTTTACTACTGCAGTGGCCTTTGAACTTTGTCAACTTTTTTTTTGTTTACTCAAAACTTATGATCAAACATGCGCTTTTGGATAGGTATACCCGGATTGTAAGATGCATATCGACGCCGCACGTCACAGCTGACCTTTTTGAAATCCTACAAAAACTATTGCCTTTGTCAATTCATAACTCAATTGATTGTTTCGACTGTGATTTTATATTGATATTGATTGGTCAATGAATACTTTCAAACGAGACTTGGTTCAGAGGTCCATCAAAGCATTGTACAGTTCGCTGTGTGAGTGGTTGTGTGTGAAGAACGTGCCGTACAGAAAACAATACACTGCGTTGCTTTGTATGCGTATACGATATGCTCACCAAAAAGTCAAAAAATGGCCTTATTCAACCGAATTCCAAGAGATGTCAACCAAAAAAAAACAACAGTTATTTATACATTCGAGCGTTGATTTTCATTAAATTCAATTTATTCAAAGGTTGCTATGTGTACATGAAATTCGATTTGCATTGATGCCTTGATTCAAAACCGATTGTGCTTGAATACTCTCGATATCGATTATGTTGAATCGTGAAAAGAAACATTTTGACTGGGTGGTGAAAGTGTACTTGACAGAATTGAACTAAGTAGAAAATATTCAGCGACAAGTTGCAATAAATTACCCTGCCTGTCGATATAGTAACAATGTGTATGAATAAAGTTTCATTCGAAACGGATGAAGACACACGTCTCTGACGGTTTTCACCTCGATCTATTTCTCTTAACTGGAAATAAAACAAATTTACCTTCGCCATTCAATTGTCATTCCACCATTTCTTACCTAGTTGTTCAATTACCGCATCAAGCAAATGGGTTCTCTTGCAAGAGTCATTGAAGAGCCGTTTTTGTATGCACGGAAAAGATGGAGTGTATCATTTGTCGTCGTCTTTTGTATGGTGTCCAAGAACGTTTTTGAATTCACATCAAACTATTTGTCGTACTCACAGACCTATTCATTCATGCAATTGTTATCATTTTATTTCTCACTTTGGGCGTCGGCGTGTTTATATTGCATGAAACCGATACAAATAACAACTCACCAAATTCAAAGGATGGATAACCCAGAGAAAAAAAATAACGGGAGAATGAATTGTGTTTTGCAACAGCAACTACTATACATACTTGCGTACATAGTGTGTATGTGTATATATCGGATATAATATTTTTTCTGAAAATTTATCTGTGTAGATTTACTATGTGCTGTTGATTTGAAGACCATGCCATGGATAATACGATGCTTTTTTCCTCCCCAAAACACATAGTGTTAACGCTCTCTTTTCGTTTTTCCATTTTCAATTCTTTGCTCTTTACTCTTCTCGACTATTCGTCGATGCCATTTCGTATTAAACATACCGTACACAATTGACTACAGCAACATGTTTGGTTGTCTCATCGAAAAAATAACCAATATTTTACATGGGGATAAAATATTTTTTTTTCATCCTTTTCTCGTTTTTGTTCAATTTTTTCTTCTCTCCCCCTTCATCACTCTTCCAAATTGCAATATCAAATAAGAAACAACCGCAAAATATGTGCGTGCTATTTGTGTAAATATGCGTTCTACGGGGTGCACAAAATAAATCATCCCTTGTGAAATATTGATCGGTGGATATTACAGAGTATTTCTCCATATACACACCGTTCACCTTTTTTTTCCGAGGGTAAGAAAAGTGCCTTTTGCATATAGTATATTTATTTATTTATTTTTCATGACTGTTCTCCCCACAAATATTCCGCACCATTTGCTTTTGAACTCGTGGCAATTCCATCAACAACGCGCACTTTGCCATTCTTTCCTATTCCCAATTTAATAATTAAAATGCAAAAAAGAAAATGATAAAAACGAGCAGGAGCGATGACACTGTAAAATTATTGATTTTTTTTTCTTCACATTTTTTCGCTGTGTATTACATGTAATCGCATATTTGTTCCAAAACACTATACAAGGAACATCGATACTGTTTCTCATACAGGTCGGAATATTTAAATCAAACAATATGTTATGATTCCAATCACAAAGATTTGCTTTTCGTGGTATTTTCCACTTTTCATCAATACACAACTTATTTCGACACAAAAAAAACTTGAATGATTTTCGAGCGCGTCTTACAATGTAGACAAGCATCTGCAATTTGTCCGAGAGGTTTTTTTTTTATTTTGGAAGAAAAGAAAAATAAAAGCTTGGGCTCAATTAGATTGGATGAGAGAAGAATGGACACGTTTGCTGTAGACAGTTGCGTACATTCTGGCATTTATATAGCTACACACAAGAGAATAATTTATCGTTGATTTATTATGAACGAATTCATTCAATTTACTTTACCATGAAATCCGAAGCCACAGAGTGAGAGACGCATTGCTACATCATTTGAGGCAAGCGGGTGGTACAAACGAAGGAATACTGTGTTTGCCTCATCCTGAGTATAGCTCTCTGCCCTTAATGTAATGTGCACTTAGAAATGGAAAAAAAAGTAAACACCATAAGAATGAAACCAATTCAATGTGGAGGGTTTTAGCGATGGCAAGCAGTGAATGATTGGAAATAGCAATAAAAATGGTTACTTAAATGATTTTTGCCACTCGAGGGAAAATCAACAAACAGTAAGACAAAATATCTTTATCACAGTGCTTGATGCCATTGTTGTATAAGCGATCAACGGTCGATATAAATTGGCAATCTTTTGCACATAGTTCAACAGTTGGTAGAAAAAAGTTATTTTAAACTTTATGTATGATCCATTTTTCGCAACATTTTAATGAATTTTCTTTCAACATCTTTGTGAGTTAATTTCTGTACAATTGCCCTTGCCATTGTCGTCTGTGTGACCACGTAAAGTTTCACGTTACCAAAACAAATGTTTGTCAATTATATATAAAATTCATAGAAATGATTGCTAGCACGAACGGCAATACACCCCTTTTTTCTGAATGAATCAGCAAATGCATTTGCGTGTCACAATCATAAAATTGCTACTTGCCACCAAAAAACAACTACGACACGCACTTGTTTGCTTCGTTCAAAATGCAAATCGTTTAACAAAAACAATTGTGCAATGTGTTTGGGAGAGGAATACGTGTTCGTGTTGCATTGTAAATAAAGTATAAAATGGAAATAAGGACGATTTGCATTAATTTACTGTCTATTTTACTCGCGTCCATATAACCGTGCTTGAAATCGCGTACATTGAACCGCGTTGATGGTTGGAAACACAAACATAGAGTGTGTGAGAGAGAGAGAGAGAGAGAGAGAGAGAGAGAGAGAGAAAGAGCGCACAATGAACGAAGCTCGTGGAAAGTAACATGGGTTACGCACATAGTGGCAACAGCAATCAAAAACATTAACCATTGTGAAGGAGCTAAAGATACCATTTAATAGGTACATTTTTGTTACATGGGCAACCCATTACAGAATTAGTATTTCTTTTCCGCTTCGCTTCGCTTTTTCGTCCGTCCCCAACCAAAATTCAAATTGAGAAAACCTATTAACCGCTCCGTTTCATTTTGAGTTCCATCAACAATCAAACCTCAGAATATTATGCAGTGTATCCTCAATCGTCATAATTTCCATATCAGATAGGTATTAATTAAAGAAACCACATTCGCGTCTGAAATTAATCACTTCTTTATTCCGAAGTATCTTCAAGAATTTGGTAGAAAAGTCGAAGGAATGACAATTACACCTGATATTATTAGAACAATTCATTCGGAAAAAAGCGTCTTTCTTCGAAAAAAAATCGATACACGGATCATACATTGAACGAGCTCTTCAATGATGAGTTTTCTTTGGTAGATTTTCAACTGTGCATTCAGTCAGTCTAAAATTGGATAAACGAATGAAAACTGGGCGTGAATATCTCTATATTTTATTTTATCATTTAGTTCTTTTTTTTCTATTTATTAGGAGAATGCATACAGTGTACATGAACGCCCTTAAAAGATAGCCATATAAAAAACAGTTTCTATCGCCAAGCTATTCCACGACAGTTGATACACAAGAACAGACATTTTTGCTTTTGCTGCTAACATATTACACCAACTACGATCTACTTTGTTTCCAATGTAATCACCAGCAGATGAAACAGTTAGCTCAAATGTCGATTATACTATTGAAACAAGGTCTATACCGTTCTAGCCATAGAGCTATTGCGCTACTGCAATCGGACCACATCGTTCAGCAAACATGTAATGTGTGTGTGTGTGTGTGTAATGGCATCAATGTTGAGTCTGAAAATGCATTGAATTCATCAATTTTAATATGCCTTCACAATAAATTTGATTGGGAAATTAATTGCTTGATTGATTGATTGAGAATCGTTTGCAGCAAACGATCAATGTTTAATCAACAATGAATACAGCTTCTCATATGCGGCTCATATGTGCTTGTGTGAGTGTTGAGTTTAGAACAAGTATAAGTAAACTCAAATTTACTGATGACGTGCAATTGTAGATTGTTTCATCCCATATGGATTCTTCAATATGCGGGCATGGAATTGTTGTCCCATTTATGGCATTTTTTTTTTCAAATGTTCTAAGAGTTCTATGTTCATTTCGGTAGAGCTATGGATGCGCAGGTTCAAAATCGAAACTGTTATTCATTTGGGAGAATAAAACGAATATTTTCATTTATAGAATTCATTCCCGTTGTCCAATCATATGATTGACATTGTATCATTACGGAAATAATTGCCGTAGAGCGATAGAATTAAACGCATGAGTTATCACCACTTGCATGTAGTAATTGCATATAGATGAGAAATTATTTGAAAATGGTGATTTTTGGTGATTGAAGGCTTTTGTAAATAGAAGCGCAAAATTACAATGGAATCGTTTAACAGTGGTTTTAATTAAACAGTCGAAGGTACATACAGTCATGGACTAAATTGAGCGTACGACTGCCAGAAAAATGTATCGCGGGCTATTTCATGAACCTAATTTTTTTTTTCAATCAATTCTTTGCACTGTTTGTTGCGTAATTATGTGAACTAATAGTAACCGAGAGAATTTTGAATTTTTTTTTTTGGATTTTGTGATTTTTATTGAAAAATGTAGATGAATGTCATTTTTGTGCTGGACAAAATTGAGC